TTATATACATGAAGATGCATCCACTACCAATTGTATGTCTTCAATATATTGTATTTTATTTTAAGTTTCATATTTTAACCACTAATCTATTACATGAAGACTTATTATTTTCTTATAATAATAATAAATAGTTTATTGTGATATTTTAACCATTAATCTATTACATGAAAGCTTTCTGATTTGTTGCCTGCACCTCAATCTTTGATGGATCTTTACTTCAAGAATGACACAAAGAGTAAGCTATTTTTGGAGAATATTAGATATTTAACATGATGTTTTCATTCACCTCTATGAGGGGGTAAGATAGATGAATCATTAAATAATGAATCAGGTCCTCTAATTTTTGTCATGAGTGGTGAGAATTACCATAGAATTGGTAGTTTGCTTCTTAATCCAAGAGAACAACCCAAATTTTCTCAATTGTACATATATGACACGGAAAATGAAGTTGTTAACAAGATTTCTGTTGTTAGGTAATTATTGATACATTTAGATATACTATTTTTTTCCTGAAATTTCCATACTCAATTTATGTGTTGATTCCTTATCTTAAATGGTTTTTTATTCTATTATATTGTAGGATGGATAAAAATTCTAATCCATTGCATACAAAAATAGTGTCTGGCATTAAAGAAATGCTTGACTCTCATAATCCTTATTTTCAAACATACAGGATGGTTCAAGATCGTCTAAAGGAAAGTAATGCACGCAACCTGAAAATTCAGAACAATAGGGGAAAAGGGAAAAGATAATAGGAGGTATAATCTTCCAACTGTATTTGAGGTTAGCAACTTTAGTTGTGGGTGATTTTGATGCAAGTAATGGTGAGAGAGACATCATTTTAGAGACTCAACAAGGAATTTCCGTAGTGAGTTATGCTTATTTACCACTACACTATCCACTTTTGTTCCCACATAGGGAGGATGGATACAGTGATGACATTCCATTAATGAATCGTTTATCATTGTCATTTTATTTATATATTCAAATATTTTTTTTTCATGTTACATTAAGTTCAATTAATTTTTACAATTTTATATATTAATTATTAAAATAAAATTTATTAACTATAATAATTTATGTTGCACGGGCACAAGTCGTCTGTTAGTACATTTC